CTAATATCCAATATCACAATTTTAACAGGAGACCTTAACACACCCTTATCTCCAAAGGATAGGTCAACCAGACAAAAACTTAGCAAAGAAATAACAGAATTGAAAACTATGAGTGACCACATAGAAGATGTGTTAGGAAAATCTAAAGAATAGATTATTTACTGTTTCTGGGCTGATAATGTAAGCCAAAGTCATTCAAAAAAAAAATTCTCACCTGTTCTTACTAGATTATTCTAGTACTGGATTATCTGTAAAGATAGAAGCCAGTGAAGAGCTTCTAGGAGTGTGAGGTTTCTTGAGCTCACAGTCTCAGGCCCAGCTGAGCTGCAGATTGGCTGAAGAGGCAGAGTCTGTAGCGCCACCTCACCTGTTGGCGCCCGGCCCCACTGAGACCATGGAAGAGTGGTGCTGAGGGAAGAGGCAGGGTTGTGAGCTATGGCTTTGTAGCTCTGAGCCTGCACTCATAGCTCTGGGGTTGCACCGTAAATCTGAGGTTGATCCTCCTCCTCCAGGATAGACTCTCTGTGTGTAGCGGTCGGTTGACTTGAGCTGGAATTAGACTGCCAGGCATAGGATAATCCCATAAGCCGAAATGTGAGCGTATTACTGGTTCCTTTTCTGTGTGCATCAAAAATGGGAGACTATGAACTATGTGCTTTGAATTTTATGCCTGGTTTTACCTTTCTTTCTTTCTTTCTTTCTTTCTTTCTTTCTTTCTTTCTTTCTTTTTTTTTTTTTCTTCTTTGAGTGATTCTAGGGATGGAACCCACTATCTTTATGCACGTTAGGCAAGTACTCTGCCACTGAGCTACATCCCTAGCACCTTCACTTTAATCATTATTTCCATCAGATTCTTTTCCCAGAGAGAACACCCAGGCATCAGACTCCTTAGTGTCCTCTTCTTGGCGAACTTTAGTTTATTATGCCTGTGGAATTGAGAGCTAAACAGATACCTCAGTAACAGCTATCTGCTTCCTATAAATACAAGAAGAGTATGGTTCTTTCAACTGTACTGTTCTTTTCCTGAAAGAAAAAAATGAAAGGTACTCAAAAGAGTTTAATGAACTTTAAATTTTAAAGCACAGCCTCTAAGAGAGAAGTCCTGAGGAAGGGCTGTTTTGAGGGAACGGCAGGACCTGACCTTGCTCCCTTGGCGTTAATTCCCTGGGCATCCAGGAGTAAGGAGGCCGCTGGAGACAGGGCTAACCGAGCGCTGGTGCCGAAGGCCGCATAGCTTGTTTCGGGATGGCTTGGCCTCCTGGGCTGTGAGGCAGGCCAGGCTTTGCAGGCGAGTAGGAGCCAGTCCTTAGCTTGGCTCAGAGGACAACTGCAGGGGCCAAAGCAGAGCGACGAGGATTTGTTTTCATGTGTCGAGAGTTTTATTGTCTTCAGCTCATGTTACACTGTTGTTTCTAATGGTCACCCTTCTTTCCGTCTCCCCTCCTCTGTGTTTCTTTTTCCTTGTTTTGGTATCATGTCTTAAAAATACTACTAAAGGTTTTCCCTCCACGCCCTCCTCTGCCTCCCTCCGGCGGGGTGCTCTGCATGGCAGAGCCCCACTGTCTGTGGTAGCCAAAGAAGCTCCCTCTACTCGAGCTCACCAAAGCCGTACGCCCCCCTCAGTACCCCCAGCCCGCAGAACCCCTCACAACCCAGCCCATCTCTGTCCCCCTGGCAGCTACACCGGCTTTTAAAGATGCGATATATTCTGGTCCCTTGCTTCTGGGTTCCATGTTCCCCGATGCTTTGTCCAAACTCCAGCGCCACTATGCAGCCACCAGATTAGTTCCTAATAAGAATGTGAGCTCTAACCCACATCACGCGGCCACTGGGAATAAAAGGATCAGCAGCTTATATGTACCTTGTCTATCCAATAACATTTGCTGGGCGGTGTTGGAAAACTCCCCTCACGTTGCACGTGGCCTGGCCCAAAACACGCCCTTGGAGGCTGCCGGCACCCAGGCACCAGCTCCCAGCCTTGTCCCCTGCCCAGCCGGCCCAGGAAAACCACCCCCTGTTCCTCCTCCTGACCTTTCCAAGCTATCCTTTGACAGCCGTAGACATGCTGGTAACGGTGGTGCGAGTCCCTCTCTGGGGACTCGGGCTTTGTTTCCAGAGGCAGTGAGACCGCCCGTGCTAGGCCCCCAGGTCACTTCTGATCCTGAAACACGGAAGAGCAAAGAAATTTACCTTTTGCAGCCAAGTTGTCCAGCCAAGGCAAGAAATTAGGAATATATGTGTGTCTCCCGCATTGTTGCTTTTGAAACTGACGCGAGCAGCTAGTGTCCTCCCCGCCCTCTCCTCGTTAATACTGCTGCGGCTTGAGCCTGGATCTTTCTTTCTGAACACAGACCCTGTCTGTCTTCCTCCCTCTTTTCTGTAAATGCGAAAGTGTGCTGGGACATGGACTAGTGACGTGGTGAGATAAAGCAGTGTTTCGATTTTATGTCAAGGTGCCAAAGAAATTGTATTTGCTCCCAAGCTTCCAGATTCTGCAGCGGTTTTGTGGGGCTCAACACAGCCTGCCTGCCTGCTGTCTTGTTCTTTCTCTTTCTCTCTCATGAAGTGTTAAAAGAATTCAAAAATAGATGGATGGAAAGTAAACTTGGACGGAGCTCCCTCTGTGTCATGGAGTGTCGGGAGGCCAGCTGGCCAGCACCGACTGTCTCGTGTACTCTGAGGAAAGGGCACCGATTAAATAGTTCTCAGAGTACATCACTGCATGTCCACTCGCAACTGTTTAAATATGGAATCCGTTCCTCCCTGCCGTACCCCTTTACATAACGACCCCCTTATTTCCCACAGGGTGCCACTTCCTCCAGCCCGGCTCAGCCTGAGGTAATAGTTGTCCCTCTCTACCTGGTTAATACTGACAGAGGGCGAGAAGGCACTGCCACACCTCCAGCATCTCTGGAGCCGCTTGGCTGCGTCCACACTAGCCTGGTGACCACCCCTGCTGCCTCACCTCTGGCCTTCCCGACTCTAGATGATTTCATTCCCCCTCATCTGCAGAGGCGGCCCCACCACAGCCAGCCAGCCAGTGCTTGTGACTCCCTTCCCCCTGTTAGCCAGACACCACCATCCTTCTCACCGCCACCTCCGCTGGTCCCTCCCATACCAGGGGACCTCTACAGCGTCTCCAAGCCTGACCTCACGGGAGCTGTTTCAAGTACCGTAAGCTTGCTGGACTTCCCTCCCCGCGGCTTTCCTGAATGTCTGCTCCTGGCAGTAAATCCGTCTTTCTTACTGAAATACTAAGTTCTGAGGAACGTGCTGGCTGTTGCTGTGCTTGTGTGATGACTGGACTTGTGTCTGCTGTCCCTGGAGTGCATGCTTCCCTCGCGTGTCCCGGGGTCATCTGTGAGGGCCTCTTTTTGTCCTGTTGAGGATGCATGTTTTCCTGAAAGAACTTTGTCTTCCCTCTGAGAAAACGTCTGTAGCCTTGACTTTGCTTAGGTTTGCTCTTTGTAGGCCAGACAGATGAAATGTGACGAGCTGAGAAAGCTGAGGAAGCGCGCGGGGAAAGCCAGCGCAGGTGTGGTGCTACAGGGTACCAGGGAATGGCAGGGTCCTGGGCGGGAGATTGCTCTTCTGGTGACGTTGTGAATAAGCTACCTCCCTTTCATAACAGAAACGGGGAAGACCAGGGTAAAAACAAAAGTAGGCAGTTAGGTTTCATTGGGCAAGTGGACTTAAAGGCCTTGTACAAACGTTAGGAGTTTTTGAAAGACAGAAAGATATGAGAGGCCCTAGGGAGGAGGCTGAGGGGCCTTTGTGGCCCAGGGCACACCAGCAGTCAGTGGTCACAGGAAGTTAGAGGCCCTGAAACCTTCTGGTCCCATCCTGTGTGAGAAGAGTGACTCCCTTCACACATGGGAAAGCGCATCTGCTTGGAGAAAGGTTCAGCCGAAGCATTTGGGTTT